CCAATAAGCCTTAGATCAAAGGCCTTTATTGCCTTCATCTGCCCACATTCTGTAGTCTACAACTGTAGCTAACCTTGGACCAAACAAAAATGAAAGGCCTTCTCCTGATCTATAGCTGCCGTGATCAAAGCCATCACCTCCCATTTGAAGTCCATCTGGAAACTTCACTTCCATGTGTGCAAATTCCTTTCAACCCCCTTCCAAAATTTAAACCAGCCCAGAGTTTGTTCTTTTCCAAAAGAGGCAGCTTCAGCTCTCCAAAGTTTTATCTGTCACATTCAGGTAACTTGCATTTTTTACAATGTTAGCTCTGAAGGGCTGGGAACATAGACCTTGACCTTGCAGAGAGAATGGACAAAGCTTACCAATCCAGTACAACCAGGGATGGAAAAAGGAAAATTTCACTCATCCTGTTGTTTCCTTCTGTGCTTTGTCCTCTCTCTTCATGAAGCTATTTGTTCCTTGAAGTTTTATTGTTCCATCTTGATGCAATCTTTGCTCAAAGGACACAGAACCAGCCTTCCCAAATCTGGTGTCCTGATGATATGTTGGACTACAACTTTCATTATCCCTATCCAACATGGCCAATAACCACATGGACTCCTGACAGGTGTCCCTTATTGTAAGAGACATCCCTTATTGTAAGGGGCATCCCTTATTTGAGAGTTGGAAACATTGTCCATTATCAGACTAACAGCAGTTCTTCATTATAAAAGACGTCCCTTATTAGAAAATTGGAAAGCTTCTCCTTCTATACAGTATATACTGAAAAAGATGCCCCAAAACACCCATATTTGGGACTGTTAGTATGGCAAACCTCCTCTGAACAAATCTTGCCAAGAAAATCCCATGATAGGTTAACTTATTGCCATAAGACAGAAATAACTTGAAGGCACATAACAACAACAAAGCCCTTCATAAAGGCAGATGTGCATCATGTAATCTGACAGTAAGGGCGGTTCGAGAGTGGAACACACTCCCTCGGAGAGTAGTGGAGTCTCCTTCCTTGGAGGTCTTTGAGCAGAGGCTGGATGGCCATCTGTCAGGGATGCTTTGATTGGGAATTCCTGCATGGCAGGGGGTTGGACTGGATGGCCCTTGTGGTCTCTTCCAACTCTATGATTCTATGATTCTATGATTCTATGAATGCTGGCAGTGTTTACAAAGAAATATGTTGTTAAGATAACTGAAATCAATATGTTCATTTGATATTTATATAGAGCACAGATCTGTTAATAGCTACTTCCTTATTGCTAACCCTGCATATCATGAATTTCAGCTGTTAATAGCTACTTCTCCTATTGCTGTTTTGAAAACCTGGCAACACTAATTTTGAGAGAAGTAGCCCGACACAGTTATTAAAGTGTTTTTCTTCCCATCATCTCCTCCCTCCAACAATTCACAAGGTAAATAAAATAATTATTTAGAAAACAAGTTAAAACCAATCTTTAAAAATCAGTTTTGAAATCCAAAAACCAGACAGAATAATGCACCTTTAACTACCTGTATTTTAAAAATTTATCAAGAACTGAGTAGGAGTGTCATGGGGCATATATGATCCTCTTTATTATCCTGGAGAGAAGTGACCAGTGGGGTGCCACAGGGGTCTGTCTTGGGCCCAGTGCTCTTCAACATCTTTATCAGTTCTTTAGATGAAGGAACAAGGGACATGCTTATGAAATCTGCACATGATAACAAATTAGGAGGAGTAGCTAATACCCCAGAGGAGAGGATCAAAATTCAAAATGACTTTAATAGTTTAGAAAGCTGGGCCAAAACTAACAAAATGAATTTCAATGGGGAAAAATTTAAGGTACTACACTTAGGCAGGAAAAATGAAATGCGTAGATATAGGACAGGAAACACTTAGCATAACAAGACTACAAGGGATTTGGGAGTCCTAGTAGACCACAAGTTGAACATGAGTCAACAGTGTGATGCAGCAGCTAAAAAAGCCAATGTGCTTCTAGGCTGCATCAATAAAACTATAGTGTCTGACTCTAGATCAAGGGAAGTAATAGTGCCACTCTATTCTGCTTTGGTCAGGCCTCACCTGGAATAATCCTGTGTCCAGTTCTGGGCACCACAATTCAAAAAGGATGTAGACAAATTGGAGTGTGTCCAGATAAAAGCAACCAAAATGGTGAAGGGTCTGGATACAATACCCTATGAGGTGAGATTTAGGGAACTGGGTATGTTTAGCCTGGATAGAGACAGTTAAGAGGTGATATGATAGCTCTGTTTAAATATTTGAAGGGGTGTCACATTGAGGATAGAACAAGCTTGTTTTCTGCTGCTCCAGAGACTAGGACCTGGAACAATGGATTCAAACTACAGGAAAAGAGTTTCACTTAAACATTAGGAGGAACTTCCTGACAGTAAAAGCTGTTCAACAGTGGATAAAGCTCCCTCGGAGAGTAGTGGAGTCTCCTTCCTTGGAGGTCTTTAAGCAGAGGCTGGATGGCCATCTGTCAGGGATGCTTTGATTGAGAGTTCCAGCATGGCAGGGGGTTGGACTGGATGGCCCTTGAGGTTTCTTCCAACTCTATTATTCTATGAAGGGTATATGTTGTCCAGCCCTACTCTACACAAAGACAAATCACTGGTCCAACTAACTTAATATTGTCTAATCCAATTAGCGTCAGCTACTTCTTCAGGACCTTGGGCTCAGTTCTTCGTCCTTTAACTGCAGGATGCTGGGTTTTCAAGCAAGTGAAGGCTGAGTATAGACTCTTTCATATCCTAAGAATATTCTACCTCAGTTTTCTCCAAATTGCTGCCCTCTGGTTGTATCAGGAGCCAGCATGGGATAGTGGATTGAACACGGTTTGATTCCTTGATCGGCCATGAGACCCACTAGGTGACCTTGGACAAGTCACACACTCTCAGCCTTGGGAGAAGGCAATGGTAAACCTCCGAACAAATCTTGCCTAGAAAACTCTATGATAGCTTTGCCTTAGGGTCGCCATAAGTCAGAAATGACATGAAGGCACACAACAACAAGTTGTAACAGGGCTACAATTTTATTTATTTATTGAAGTTATAGCCCATCTTTCTCCCAAAATGGGATTCAGTTCCCATCACCTCCAGCCAGAAAGGTCAGCCGTAATCTAGGACTGTACAATATTGCTCTGCACAGTAACCTAGGACTAGAGTTCCCAGGAGTTGTAGTCCTAGTAGGTGTTTTTTTGTAAACTCTGGGACTCATTACAGAAAAACTCAGCAGGGTCTACAGTAAGAGAAACATCTGCGTAGAGGGGGGGGGGAAATCCCCACTATCTTGGGAGATTTATGTAAATCATAATAAATTAAAATTTATCAGTCCTTAAAGTCCTTTGACAAGAAGTGAGGAACAGACATATTTTGGATACTCCTGAAACAGATTTTAATCTCATCCTGAAATTCTCACCCACCTGCAGAATGTGATGCTGAATTTGTAATTTTAGCATCTGATAAGCACCAAATGAGATCTCAGCAACAGGTTTTCCCCTCCATAGATACAACTGCGGGGAGTGGGAAAGGACTAAGAACGAAGGTGGAGAAACCATAATATTTTGCCTAAAGCGACATCACATTAGTTTGTTGGAGATACACAAGAGGAATGCATTAATAGGGAAATTCTTATTACAGCTCTAGGCAGAAAGTTGTAAGATAAATACTTCACTTCTTAATTGAAGGTAAACTCAGTATGCACACCACAGAATCACAGAAAACAGGACTCAAAACAGTCGATTTGTTTTTAAAATGCAGGAAGGGGTAAACGCAAGATGGTCTGGGATATCACACCAGCTTTTGTCCCCTTTATCAAGGAACGATACACCAGACGCTCACTGGGTTGGTGCATGTTTGCAGCCAATAAAACAGAGCACATTGACCAAACTAAATCTATTTGGACTGAAGCAACTTGGATCTCAAGAGAAGCATCTCTTTTTGTCTTGCTTATAGAACTTAATTTTTTCCCCCCGGGGGTACCCACATGGCCAGAAAGCCTCTGTGGGGTAGTGTTTTCAGTGTTGGATTGCGACTCTGGAGACCAGGGTTTAATTCTTGGCTCATCCATGAAACCCACTGGGCAAGTTACACACACTCAGCCTCAGGGGAAGGCAATTGCAAACCTCCTCCGAACAAATCTTCCCAAGAAAATATCCCATGATTTTGGTGTTGCCATAAGTCAGAAACAACTTGAAGGCACACAACACACAACACACACGGCCAGGAGGAGGATAGGCCAGCCTGCATGAATATCCCACCAACAACATCTGAACTGAGAACAGCAACTTCTTCACAAAATGCAGGCTTGGGACTAATATTGTCATAATATTCCCCCTCTTGTATGATTTTCAACATGTTTGCCTGATGAAGAAGTCAGTGGAGCTTCAAAAGCATGCAAAATGTGTTTTGTGCATTTTGTTTGACTAATAAAAATATCACTGTTTTGTAGATTTTGGATGTTCTCGTATTTTGCAACATGGCCAACATAGCTACCCCTGGACATGTTATTTATTTGGTATATGTATATGAAGTATATGAAGCGTTAGTCTGCAACAGGTCAGATTCAACGGCCAAAATCCTATATCAAAGAGACAGAGCATAACTTACACTCACTGATTTATGCAATAACTATGCAATCATTAGTGAACTGCAAAGCTGTTCAAGTGAATGTGAAATGCAGGATTACAATGCACATCTGCATGTGCAATGCACCATGTCACCATGTGTCCAAAGGCACTGCATGTTCAACTCTGCTTCCAAAATCTTCAACTGAGTATGAATGGTACACCATGGTCAAAAAGTCAACAACCAAATGCGTAAACATGTGTGAGTCACAAATGTATTTATTTGTAGTTTATATCCCACCTTCACCCCAATTTGAGACTCCAGCTGATCTCTGAACTCCTGCCCTTGCAATCACTGATCATGTAAAAGTTACTTTTTTTTTGGATTACAACTCCCAATGGGACATGCTGACCAACAGAGTCTAGGAACAGTTAGGGTTGCCGGGTAGTGTGGCACAGTGGTTTGAGTGCTGAACTAGGACTCTGGAGACCAGGGTTTGATTCCAAGCTTGGCCATGAAACCCAATGGGTGACCTTAGCCAAGTCGCACTCTCTCAGCCTTAGGGGAAGGTGACAGCAAACCTCCTTTGAACAAATCTTGCCAAGAAAATCCCATGGTAGGTTCACTTTAGGGATGCCATAAGTTCAGAAGTGACTTGAAAGCACAGGACAACAATAACAACAAGAGAGAATTTTAGCAGATGTGGCTTGTCATGGAACCCTGTAACAAGCAGCACCTGTTGAAATTCCCTTTTCCACACAACCCTTAATTGTACAGGAGCTATCACCAGTTTCTCAATCTGGGTTCCCTAACAACAGTCCAAAGAAGTAACTTTTACAAGTGCTAGGCAAAAGGCAATGGTTGTCACCTCTACTACCTTTGTCATACATGGGCATATTCCAAACGGTGACCAGGTGATAAAGTAAGAGTCCCATTGAAGTGTGACCAGCATCTTGTTTGCTATTTGCCATTAACTAGATGAGACAGTAGACGGAATGGATGCTTATAATTATTCACTTTATTTGTCTCAGATAAGTGGCACAAGATAAGGAAGTCTACTTCAGAGAAGAAACAGGGGAGACAACACATCTTTTTCCTGCTATTAACTTATTAAATGGCTATGGGCAAGTTATTCTTTCCCCTGACTTTACACATACACCCCAGCCAATGTTGGGATTGGCTGAACAGGATAATGGAAGCAGCAATCTAAGAAAGTAACTCCTCCAAGTTCTGAATTAGGTGGTAAAGGAAAAGTGGAAATGCTAAAGTGTGCAGGATCACACAAATCTTCATGCAGAGCCAGGTTAATAAGTTCTCCACACTTCCAACATTGGCAAAAAGAAAAAAAAACCCAATGACATCTGACAGTTCAGAAGAACAAATGAGGCTTACAAGGTATCACTTATGAGCTTTCTCTGCTGTAGCTCGATCGGCACCCATGTTGCCATCATTCTAGCGCCAAGTGAAAACATGGCTAATTACTAAAGCCTATGGGTCCTAACTGGTTTTCACTAGTATGGAAAGGCATCTTGTAGCATCTTTAAGACTTGTCACCATACACACAGGTTTTGTATTTCTACTGCTGTTCATGCAAACAGCCTACATATAAAAGTCTGTCCCTAGACACTTTGCTCCTTGCATTTTAAAGAAGTAGACTCAAGTCTATGAAAGCTTATGCTACCAATTTCTTTCTTCCTCTCAGTTAGTTTCAAATATGCTACAAGATCACTTTGCACACAGATTTTATCTTGTCTTTTTAACTTGTTAAATTCCTTAATAATACTTTTAAGCCTTCAAATCATGTTTTATTTTCAGGCTGTTTTAAATGGGTTGGGTTTGTTTTTATCGTATGTTGCTCTGAGGTCTTTATGTAGAGGGTAGGATAGAAATATTTTAATTGATAAAATAATAAATAAGTCATCAGCATCACTACCATCATCATCCCAAAACTAAAGATGGCTTTCAAATTAAACCAAATGCATCTGAGGAAGCAGACTAGTTTAGTCTATGAAAGCTCATGCTGCCAACTTCTTTCTTTCAGTGAGTCTCAAAGGTCCTAAAAGATCTCTCTAAATACTGATTCTACAGACTAACACGGCTATATCTTTAAATTAAACCAAAATACAATATAGCTAAAACATAGCAGTTCCACTGGGAAGGGGAGCTGTACACATGTTGCACTGCTTTTATCAAATTCACTATGTTGTTTTTGTACTATTCCTGAGACAGGATTTCCAGGCTTTTTTTTTTTTTTTTACAGATAAATATTCAAAGGAAGGGATTCTGATCTTGTGTCCAAGTCACGTAAGCAGGCAATGTTTTGCACTCAGATCCAGGCGTTAAAAAGGAGGATTTGTGTGCTTTTCTGAAGTACACCAACTTTTAGATAAAGAGGAGGGGGAACCACATTCAGACACAGGATTGCATACCAGCCCACCTCATTTGCCAAGGCGTTTTTTCCACACCCTCACTCTCAGGACTTACATAAGCAGTGTGACAGCTTCAGAAGATCAGATGTTGTCTCAACCCATTAAGCAAGCTTCAGACCAAAACAGGCTGAAAGGTAAATACGCCCTTTGAAAGCTCCAAAGGAGAAACAAAACACGCACACAGAGAGACAGACAGTAAATTATTATCCTGGCTAAGTTTATTAAGGACTTAACACAACCAAACTTGATCTAGCAAGTCAGCAATTATGAGCAAACATGGATTTCTTTTATTTATTTTTTGGTATGTGGTTGGATAGAATTCTTCTGCATACTTCACCTGTACTTATTTTTGTTGCTTTTAAATCTTAGTCTGCTGGAGTCTGTTACAGAGAGAGTATTTTTCCACTGCTCTATAAGATTCTGCCAACATTACTTAAATTTATACTTTGGCCAAAGTTAAGGATTTTGTAAAATAATTATTGTAGGTGAAGAACTTAAATGATTCCAAACTCATCACTTCATGTCGGTCCCAGCTGTGAAGTGCTCAAAATTTTGACTGGTCTCCACCCCTGGGATAGGCAAGAAAGTTGGTTTCTTTTCCTCTTTTTTGTTTGTTTCTGCATGATCTTTCGACAGATTGTTTAGGAAACAGGTACTTATTGTTGTTATCTGCCACCAGACTGACTTTGACTTATGGTGACTCTATGTGTGAGCCATCTCCCAGTCCAGGTCACCAACTGTCCAGCTCAGGTATTTCTAATTCAGGACTATTGCTCCCTTGATATCCATCAGTAGGAGATCTCCCTTTTTTCCAAGCATTATCATCTTTCCCAATGACTCGTGCTGTCTAACACATGTCCAAAGTACGACAGCCTTTGTTTAGTCATTTTCATATCTAGCGAGAATTTACATTTAATGTGGTACTATATGGGATTATTTCCTGCTTTTGAAATCTTTTTTGAACAAAAGACTTCAGAAGCAGCCATGCTGTTGGCCTGTGCCCATTGTTAAAGAAGACACTATTTAAATAAAAGAATGCACACATTTCTAGAAATGCAGCAGCTTGTAAGTGCAAGAACAAAGTTCCCTGACCACACAAGAGAACCAAGATGTTTTGACTTCAGGGATGCTAATGGAATCTGAACAAGAAATATAGCAGCTACCTGTTATCTTCCAATTATACACTGGTATCTGTAGCTACAGTTAGTCACATCTGTTTAATAAATGCTATTTTTATGTTCTTTTGTTATTTGCCAGCTTTATCATATGGTGATCCTATGAATAAGAGACCTCCAAGAGATGCTCAGGTCTTGCAAACTCAGGGCTGTGGCTTCCTTGATAAGAATTAATCTATTTGTAATATGGCCTTCCTCTTTCTCTACTGCCTTCCATTTTACTACCCTTAATTTCTGTAGGATTTCTATCTGACGTGTAGCTGTACCTAGTGTAGAAAAATAAATCTGGAACAGCTATCTTCCTTATTGTTTAGAGACATTCTATTGTATTTGACCTTCGATTCAATTTCCTTTTCTGCCTTATTCATCCAAAAAGGAAAGAGGAACTATTTATTTATTTATTTCCTCTAATGAGCTCAAGATCACTTCCTCTCCACCTTATTTTCATAACAACCTTGTGAGGTAGGTCAGCTCGAGAAAGTGACTGGAACCAGGTCATTCAGTATGGTTCATGGTTCAACCTGGGTTTCTCAAGTCCAACAGTCTAGCCACTATTGACCCTTCCAAAGCCCGCAAGACTACTCCCCAAATTTTTTGAATGGTGGTGGTAGCAAGGTTAAACACACCCTGGCATGTTAATCGCTGCTCTTGGATTGCAAATTTAGCTCTAATCCCCTAGTTCTTAGAAACCTCTAGTCTCAAAAGCATTTGAAAAAGTTCTTCATAGCCTGCAGCAGCTGCAATCTAAGCAGACACACATGATTAACCAATGTTTAGTTGGAGCAAAGCAGAGAAGGAATTCTCTACTTCTTCTTTGGAGCGCATCACAAACTCAATGCCTCATTCCCCCTGGTGTTAAATAGAGCTTTGTTGGAAGCTATTGCTCTGGACTTGGGCAGAAAAAAGGCTATCAAAGAAAAGGGGGAAAGAACCAGGAGGAGAGGAGTACTGTCGGCCCTACTAGTCCACAGATTCAACCACCCATGGCATGAAAATATTCTCCTCCCAAAAATTCCCTTGATTTTGCCATGTATGTCACTGTATAAAATAGGATTTCAGAATCCACTGATTTTGGTATCCATGGGAGGATCCTGGAACTAAACCCCAGCAGGTACCAAGGGCCTAATGTACGCAGTAGCATCCCTCTATCTACAATGCGAAGTTTCTGATTTCTACAAATAGGAGCTGGAAATGTAAAGATGAGTGAGAAACTCTTTGTCAGTTCTGAAGATTGGCAAACAAAGAATTCGACGTAGATCCAGGATTTTTTAAAGCTAGATATATTATGATCTGCTTTACACTTTCTACATACTTCCAGCCCTCAAAGCAGAGAAATAGTCCATCAAAGCAACATCAAACCACATGTTATTGAATATAAGTGAAGGATCTTTTCTAGACTCTGCCTGGACAAGGTTCCCAACTCAAACTGGGACTTCACTATCACAACAGCCTCTGTTTTTGTCTAGAAGTCTGCAGATTGTGCCTTACGAAGATTTTACACTTTAGTCACTTCTGGCACAACCTGTCACAAAAATAAAGGACACAATGAGCTGATTTTCTCAACATCATGCACTTGGGGACCAATGATGACACTGACAAAATTTCATCAATAAACCACAATAACTTCAGGGTGATGATTATTACTTTGCAATACCCCCTCGTAAGGCACAATTTTCATACTTCTGCAATATCAGGTATTCGGACAGTCAAGAAATGGTGGGAGAAATGTGTAAATCTGGATGGTGACTACATAGAAATAGGTTAACAACTACAAATCAAAACAAACTTTCTGTCAATTTTTTAAAAGGTGATAATTAAAACTTTACAATACCTCCTCGTACTCTTGAGAACCTTTCTTGGAATAATACTGTACCCAGTTCTGGGCACCACAGTTCAAGAATAATAGTGACA